TTAGAACTTATATCTCAAGGTGGGTGGCGCATTTACGTTGTAGATGTCTATGGGCTCCAATAACCACTTAACACCAGGTGGGCTGTGAGCTCGTCCACCTATGTAAGCAATACAAAAAAAAAAAAAATGCGGACAATATTTCTTGTGGCTCAAAATATTCTATATTGCCAGTATTGTACACATGTGTCTGGGAGGAGAGAAATAGGTAAATAAGGAGCGGGTACTGGTACAACAGACAAACGATAAGGAAGTATTATATTTATATGTATTTATATTATGTAAAGCATACGCGGCATGCGATATTGCGATCATAAAATATGTATACAGAGACACGCTAATAAAAAATATTTAATTTTAAATTCTTTTCAGAATTTACGCTATTGGTGATGTAATTCACGGACCAATGTTGGCTCACAAAGCGGAGGACGAAGGTATCGTCTGCGTCGAAGGTATTAAGGTAAACAATATCAAACTTTTTTTTTGCGTTTTAAGCATTGACATCATGAGTGAATGGGTTTGTTATGTGTGCCTACAATTGAATAGAAGCTTGAAATACATGATAGAATGAAAATAATCCAAACATTTTCTATAAAAATGCTTGTCAATCAATCAACCACAATAAAACAATGACCGTGCGTGATTTGTTTTCAGTTATTATAGTTAATGATTGCAATGCAGATTAGCAATCTTCAATAAAATTGATAGATATTTATAGACAACAGAAGGACAGATAACAGACCTGACTATTTTTGTAACTACATATTTCTTAAGGCTTTAACTGCTTTAATCACATTAAAACCATCAAAATAGAACTAAGTGACATTTCAATCGTTGAAGGTAAAACTAAAAAAGTTGTGAACAATTTTGCAGGGCATGCCCGTCCACTTCAACTACGATGCAATTCCGTCGGTTATTTACACTTCACCCGAAGTTGGCTGGGTCGGAAAGACTGAAGAAGATTTAAAGAAAGAAGTAAGTCTCAGAACTTATTTGTTATGAAAATGCTAAGCTGTCATTCACAACTAATTAATATTGTTAAAGGGCAGAGCTTACAAAGTGGGTAAATTCCCGTTCCTGGCGAACTCCAGAGCGAAGACGAATGGGGAAACTGAAGGTTTCGTCAAAGTGCTTTCCGATAAGACTACAGACGTAATCCTTGGGACTCACATCATTGGCCCTGTGAGTATAAAAAATTGTTAATATTTATGCTGGCAAATGAGCACTTGACAAAATTAAATGTTATTAAAACTGTTAACAGTCTCAATCTTTCGATAGATGGCACTGTTTATTATTCTTAACAATAAATATTATATCGTAAAATATTATAATAAATTGTATTGTAAAGATTAAAAAAATAGTCAGAAACAACCATCTAAAATAAAAATGTATTTTTTTTGTGTTTATTTGTATGTGATACAAGCCCGTGTCTTTTATTTAGTGTTGAAATTAGTACTGTTGTCTTACCAGGAAAAGTTTTGCATACGGCACCACGACAGATGGCGCGCTACTAGCGCCATCTGTCGTTCGATTACGATAATAGATTTTATATTTTGAACATGAATCGCTTTTTTTCCTATTTACTTTTTTAGCGGATTTTAAAGATCATTATCAGCAATATTACTGGTATATAAATATTTGATATATTCATCAGGGCGGTGGTGAGTTGATCAACGAGGCTGTACTCGCGCAGGAGTATGGTGCCGCTGCTGAAGACGTTGCGAGAGTCTGTCACGCGCATCCTGTAAGTATAAATATACAAACACGAAACCTAATTGTCCATTTTTTTCAGTATTATGAGCATGTAATGCAAATCCGCTTTGTGCCTTAAGGTCATTAAATTTTAGTAATGATTTGCATGTCTTATCATATATACATAATATTTGGATATAAACTCTTGCATTAGACGCCTTCAGCTCTAAAGCTAGGAGCAGGCTTAGGGACCCGGGAACCCTACTTGTCGAACTCTGCAAAGTTTGACGTGCAACCTCCTAACCCATGCATTTGCTGTTAGCAAAACCTCCCACTTCTGGCTGAGCCTTTGCTCGCCCACCTGTTCTGGTGAAACTGGAAAGGCTTCCGGGCAACCAGTAATTCCTCATTAATAAAAAAAACAAGTGTGGCACTCGGGGACTGCCGCGGTAAAGCTATTGCATAGCGTTTTTTATCAACTTATGCAATTATAATTAGACAATAATAATTTATATTAACACAATAATAAAATAAGACCACGCTATATTTATAAACATTAACAAAAGCAAAACATTAACTGCCCTCTTCACACTCATAAGCTAGACCGCGCGAGAGAGAGATGGGCAGATTTTCATGATGCGCATGCGGCAGTGCGACGTCACGCCGCGCGCTTATTCACAAACATTACACAAGCGCAACGTGTGAATGTGTTGAACGCGAGCTACATGCTAGGCGGAGTGGGGGTGTTAGGTTTTATTTTCGTTCCGGAATTTCTTGATTCGATCTCCGTGCTCAAAAGCCCGCGATAAAAGCTATACAATAGCTTAAGATGTACATACATATATAATATATATTTGCATATTATTAATGTAAATTTGATTTCAGACATGTGCCGAAGCGCTGCGTGAAGCAAATCTAGCAGCGTACTCCGGAAAACCTATCAACTTCTAAATGTAGAGGTGCAAATAATTAATGAACCCAATGAACAACTGGGTTTTTAGTCTATATTGTGTCCGCATTAAGGAATCTTGTATGAATGAATCTGATTTGAAAGGAATCGTGCCGCGTACGTTTTTAAATATAAAGCTCAAGTAAATTATTACAAGAGTATTTAAAAGCGTTGAAGGAACACACTGTTATTTATGAAATCATTAATTGTGACGCCAGTTTGCTAGTATGTGATATTTATTTGTATAATAACTATTTCAATAATACTTATTTTTGTTAAAGTACCGTTTAGTTTTTTTTTTGTGCAAGTGCATACCTAAAGGATCCTTACTGTCACTAAAAATAAAACTACATTTGTGTATTGATCTTGTTTTGTAAATACCAGAATACATTCATGTAAGAAAGTTTTATTTTTATTTCTTAACTAAAAAACATTATAACAAAATTTAAATGGGAAATTCATAAAAACAAACAAACAAAGTTCAAAACTTAATTGTGTTAACAAACGTATAAAATAAAAATCTTGACTAGACAAACTAACGAACGAGTAAACAATTCGTTTTGTAGAAAGAACTCCACAATTTCATTTTTAAATGAATCTAGTTGAAATACATTAATATAGTAAAGGATAATCATTGTAAAATGTCATGGATATAAAACATCTATTTTATAATGGATATATTAAATCTACAGTCAATTTACCGAACAATACAATCTGTGCTTAGTCGATAGCATTACGAAAAAACTATAAAACAGAATTAGAAGTAGGTCGTTCTAGAACTTTATCTAACAACTAAAGTTAAGAGTAACAGTCGGAAGAAATGACTCGTGAAGTAAGAAGGTAGCGGTGGATAAAGCGGTGACTAACTCTATTTTAATTACGAAGGTCCTTTTGACACTTCTTAGAACTTAACTTCACGTTTCGCATAATTTAAAATAATAAACATTTTTTGTTCATGGTCGTAAACATCATTTAAAAAATACACAATCAATCTAAATCATTATACAATCAATTCACACACACAATAACATAATAATAACATCTGTATCATTAGACTTTGTAATTGAAATAGAGAAGTATGATTGGTTGCAACATTAAATTACTAGATCACGGCAAGCCTCCGCTGAAGACGCTAATGACATTTACAATTTTGGTGTGAATCTCTCATGGATTTAACTAAGGCGGTCCGTTGTATCGTTTTCATAAGACTAATACAGTACACGCGGGCTAATGTAGTCGGCTTCGACTTCAGCAGGGACATTGTATTAATTGAAATGAATGTAATTAATAAATACGATAGCAATGAATTACCGAATGACCCCAAATAAGTTCTCCCACGACTAAGCACGTTTGGAAGTTCAGTACGCCTTCATATATTCAGTCCGGCTAAATCTACTACATAAAGTACTGTGCAAACTGCTGCGTATCTTATAGAATTGACAACAATCTTTACATAAACAAAACGAACATAACAAACATTGAAAAAATATATATACTTGTATAAAATCATGCCAAAATCACCAATGATAACACATAAAAACTTAGAAACTTATATACATATACATATATTACTACATATTTTAACACAAACAAAATCAGTCTACAAGAGAGCACAAATACTAAAAAGAGTAGAAAATGTATTATTTCCTATAAATATAGTCTTAAGGGGATTTAATCTCATTAGAGGTGTATGGTTATTAAGTAAAATTTCCATTATAGGATCCAGGATAATGAGCGATTACTGTTACCAAAGCTATTGCTTTTTAATCTATTGATTAAATTGCTATTTCAAAGAATTTATGCGTAGAAAAAATAAATAGCAACTATAAAATCGAAACAGGATACAGAACCTCTTAGATTACACAAACATTGAACTGGGTGAGCATGAATAGTGTGACATACCAGGTAAGTTATAGGTATTACAGAAAAAATACAAGGTTTTTCAAGCTCGACTTAGCTTAACTTTCCTGTATATTCTCTTCTTCTTCTTAGTCGAATATTTCATTGCTGAAGGTCATGTCCTTGAAGCCCTTCATGGCTCTTTGTACCCTCAGCTTCCATTTGCTTCGGTTTTCGGCTTCTCTCAGGGCGTTCGCAACAGAGAGTCTAGTGAACGCAGATATCTGATCCGACCAACGGTATGGTGGCCGGCCGGCGGGTTTTTTCCCTTCTACCTTGCCCACCACAATCAATTTTTCAAGGTTGTCTGGTGGCCGCCGAGCAATATGACCAAAGTAACCAAGAACCTTCTGGTAGCAAATCGTCGACAGTCTCGTTTCTCTTGGCGGTCCACGTACATTACACAATAATAACCTGATTTTATTCATAAATTTATCATAATAAAGAAATAAAAGTAATAAAATAACATTAAAACATAATCCTGTAAGAATAACAAATTCGAACAACAAACGAAAAATCAAACAAAACAATTTTATAATTTGATTCGTTTTAAAAATAATCGCTCATTGTTTAGTATTACAATAATAGTATCGCAATTGCGAATACTTGTAGGTTATAATAATGTTTAAAAAATCTACGATAATATTAAATCTACGATAAGATCAAGGGATCTGCAAATTGATGCAAACATTAATTTGATGGATATCATTGGAAACTAACACCAATAATTGCTCTGAGTCATCTTTCAAATCCCTTGCTAATTCAGCCCCATGTGTCCATTACCTGATTGCACATATTCAAGTAAAATTTTGGTGACAAAATCTCACTGTATTCTGAACAATCTTTCGAATACAGTATCGCAGTAATCATTGTAGTGGCATTAGATTCCATATACTTACGCAAAACACGTTCCAGTTCAGTTATAGATAAACTGTTATTAATGTAAAAATCTTTAGACAAACGGAAACATATTTCCCACAGTGTTGCGTCCACGGGGAATATATTTATCAATTTATCAATCACATCAGCTGCTTTACCAGAGAGATCTTGTTCGAAAATGTTTACCGTTGCATTGGGTAGTTTTTTCTTCAACAGATATTTTAATTCATCACAGCAACACGGTAATGATTTAAAGGTTGATGGATCTATTACGTTATAGGCGACGTCGTTCAGAATAGCCAAGGACACCTCTTTTATCCTTTTTGCTATGACATTTGTAATAGTTATTTTGACCTCGTCTTTCCGGGTAGGTGGTCCAGCCTCGCAGTCCGCGCTGTGTTCAATCTCAAGGGGCGTGCTGTGTTGCACGTAGAAACAATCGTTTTGGGGACCGCGTTTTAAATTCTCTAACATTAACCTCAAACACTCAGAGTATGCGTTATTATGATAAGCTAATTTGGCAGCCATATTTAAATTCCTTGCTACATTGGCTTCGTTTATCCACGGTTTGAGTAGCATTATGACGTCATCGGCCCACGACTTCCTTTTGAAATCCTTCATGGACTGTAGTGGGTTTAGTTGCGATACTATAGGTTGCCTTTGCAAGTCGTTGGCGCTAGATAACATGTCGACAGCGGCAACGGGCTGGAAAAGGAACTTATGGTTCGTGCGGCTCGCTGGAATCTTGATTACGCGTTTCGTTGTTTTCATCATAATAACCCGATTACCTCCCTTCGTTTTTTCATTGGAGATCTGATGAAAAAAAATTATGTCAATTGATAAGAAGATTAATCACAGTATTGCCAGATTCGAGTAATAGATAATTTACCTGTAAATGAGTGTTGCCAGTAGAATAAATTCGTCCATCGTCGTCGATATATACGGTGAAGTCACCACCGCACCCGACCAACGCTTTGGTATTAAACTCCATATTTTCATCAGCATCTGTAGTTTTCTCACTATCGCTTTTCATAGTATGAGGTTGTGTCTCCGTACGAATTTTAACTTCGGTTGGAATCTGTATTTGTTTTCTATCGCCACTGCCTATTCATAATTAAACAATTTACTTTAAAAAAAAACAACAGATCTCTGCTGTCTTAACTGCTTTAAATGTGAAATTTAAGAAAATTATTACGTCACTTCATTTCTTTTGAAGAATATTAAATCTGCAGTGACAATTATTACTTTTAAAAAATTAAAAAAGTATGTTTTTATTTATCATCTATATATTTTATGCTTATTGAGCATATTATATTATTAATTTGCTTATTGAGTAGACCTTACCTAGCTGTCCATCGAAATTAAGTCCCCAAGTATAAATCGAGCCCATGTTGTTTATTATGCATGAATGATGCCAACCAGCGGATATCTGTAAATACGAATCGAACCACATTATATATTTTTTCACAACAGAGATGTCGGAGGAACGTGATCTTTTTGCTAAATTTGGAACCTCCGGGTCTGCGGAGGGACTTCGGTTCCCTCTGTATTTTGTACCGTATGTTCCATGGGGCTAGTGCTCTGAGGAATCGTTTGAGATGATCCCCTCATCTCCTTTTTATCATCGCACCTCCCGCCATCGGAGCAGAGTTCATCCATATCACCTGGAACCGCTGCGTTCATCGACAGTGCCTTTCTAGAGATCTTTTTTGCCACGTACCATCCGGCTATGGAATGAGCTCCCCTCTACGGTGTTTCCTGAGCGCTATGACATGTCCTTCTTTAAAAGAGGTTTGTGGAGAGTATTAAGCGGTAGTCAGCGGATTGGCTCTGCTCCTGGCATTGCTGAAGTTCATGGGCGACGGTAACCACTCACCATCAGGTGGACCGTCTGCTCTTCTGCCTACAAGGGCAATAAAAAAAATACTAGTAAATTATCCGGATCTGTACCTGTACGATTCTCCCTCGCACGTTGGTAGTGTCGACGCAGGAGGGTGCGAGGTATCTGTCGTTATCGTCGTGGAAGGGCAGGGTGGGGGAGGAGGGCTCTGCGGCGCGTCGTGCGGCGGCGGCGCGCACCTGCTGCGGACTGGCGCCCCACACGTACACCTCGCCTTTATGTGTTAACGCCAACTGTTTAAAATTATTTCATTATAGAGATTTGAAACTAGTCTTCAGCGGTAATGGATATTGTATGGATCAGCTTGTTGGAGCATTAAAATGGCGGATGAAAGACGATTGCATGCAGCAGAGATGCGAATGTTGCGATGGATGTGTGGAGTAACGAGAATGGATAGAATACGAAATGGAAGGAAGTCTGAAAGTGGCACATGTGACAGAGAAGTTGGGAAGTACGCGTTTGGGATGGTATGGTCATGTGAAGAGACGAGAGAAATGAAAATGAGGTTGGTAAGAGGGTGTTAACTATGAATGTGGAAGGATATAGAGGAAGAGGTAGACCTAAGAAGAAATGGATGGATTGCGTGAAAGATGATATGTGTAAGAAGGGAGTGAACGAAGAAATGGTATATGATAGAGGAGTATCGAAGGAGAAACCATGTTGCGCTGACCCCAGCTGACTGGGAAACGAGAAACGAGCAGGAGAATGATGATGATGAGTTTTTAGCGGTAAGCAGCGTCTTGACTGTGTCTCTATGAAAGCAATAGCTGATGTGCACAAGTAATGGCGACCATTCACAATCACGTGATTTATGTGCTCGTCTCCATTAACAAATAATTTTCTACGGGTGTTCCTCGTTTCGATATCGAGTAGAGGGAACTCGCTCTCGCCTCCGTCATCTGACTGCCGGAGTCCCGCAAGGCTCCGCGTTCTCCCCGTTATTATTTAGTTTGTATATCAATGATATACCCCGGTCTCCGGAGACCCATCTAGCGCTCTTCGCCGATGACACGGCTATCTACTACTCGTGTAGGAAGATGTCGTTGTTACATCGGCGACTCCAGATCGCAGTAACCACCATGGGACAGTGGTTCCGGAAGTGGCGCATTGACATTAACGCCACGAAAAACACAGCGGTGCTCTTCAAAAGGGGTCGCCCTCCGAATACCACTTCGAGCATCCCACTCTCTAATAGGTGCGTAAACACCTCCGCCGTTAGCCCCATCACTCTGTTTGACCAGCCCATACCGTGGGCCTCGAAGGTCAAATACCTAGGCGTCACCCTCGACAGAGGGATGACATTCCGTCCCCACATTAAAACGGTACGCGACCGTGCCGCGTTTATACTAGGACGACTGTACCCTATGCTTTGCAGACGAAGCAAACTGTCCCTCCGTAATAAGGTAACTCTCTACAAAACTTGCATACGCCCCGTGATGACGTATGCAAGCGTAGTGTTCGCTCACGCGGCCCGCACCACCTTGAAACACCTTCAGGTTATTCAATCCCAATTCTGCAGGATAGCCGTCGGAGCACCATGGTTCCTGAGAAACGTGGATCTCCACGATGACCTGGAGCTCGATTCCGTTAGTAAGTACCTATAGTCGGCATCGCTGCGCCACTTTGAGAAGGCGGCACAACATGAGAACCCTCTTGTCGTGGCCGCTGGAAACTACATACCCGATCCAGTAGACCGAATGGTAAACCGTCGACGTCGCCCAAAGCACGTCATTACGGATCCTCCCGATCCATTAACGGTGCTTATAGGCACCACAAGCGCCGGTCACCGTCTTCGTCGAACCCGTCGTTTGCGACGAAGGGCTCGACGAGCGAATTAATCCATAGACATAGCCCACTGAGTTCTCGCCGGATCTTCTCAGTGGGTCGCCTTTACGATCCGGTGGTAGATTCTGCGAAGCACTGCTCTTGATAGGGTCAGTGTTAGCATCACTCCGGTTTGAGCCCTGTGAGCTCACCTACTAGTTAAGGTTACGCTGAAATAGCTTCTAAAGGCTTATCAGCTTAGGTAGGAAAAAAAAATGAAAGTTTACAGCGGCGACGGCTCCTTTGATCCGAATAAGAAATGACAAGGTCTTATATAAAGTTTCTCACGTTATGAAAGTATCCGGCGGCGAGGGCGCGCACCGGCTCGTGCAGCGCCACGCGCACCGGTAGCGACGCCTTGCCGCGCTGCCCAGTGCCCAGCTGCCCGAACACGCTGGCGCCGCACGCCCACAGCTCGCCGCCGCGCGTCAGCAGCACCGAGTGACACGCGCCGCACCCCACGCTCTGCACCTGGCGCCATTACATTCGCTTTTTTTTTATTGGTTAGGCAGATGGACGTGTTCACAGCCCACCTAGTGTTAAGTGGTTACTGGAGCCCATAGACATCTATAACGTAAATGCCGCCAGCCACCTTGAGATATGAGTTCTAAGGTCTCAGTATAGTTACAACGGCTGCCCCACCCTTCAAACCGAAACGCATTACTGCTTCACGGCAGAAATAGGCGGGGTGGTAATACCTACCCGTGCGGACTCACAAGAGGTCCTACCACCAGTTATATTGTCACTGTACGAGGTTTTTATTTTTTCTTTCGATCCGGCGAGAAACTCAGTGGGTTATGTCTGGATTAGTTTACTCGCTTGCGGCGAACTTACCTTTCTCCCCAAAAACTTCGTAACCAGTTGTGGGGTCCACTGATCGTCGATGTTTCCGAGGCCCAGCTGACCGTGCACTCCCCACCTGTGACAGAGTATTTAAACAATCTATTTATTAAGTAGGCAATGATAAATCTATTGAGTACAATTTTCTTCATTGTTTGCCATCCAAACTCCTTTTTATATTTAGGAGCTATTAAAGAAATCCAGTGCAGTGAAAAAAAATCTAAATACATACTAAAGTATCAGTAATTATGGACGAAATAAGATAATTGAATTAACACTACTAATAATAAAATAGTTTATTGTACAATGTCATACAAGTCCTTCAGTCGCGTAATGACTTTGCATTGAAACATTTTTCTTAAATTTCATAAACAACCACTTCTATTGAGATGCAATGTGAGCTGAAATTATTTGCTGTTCTTTTCCTGCGTTTGAAATTTCGACTACACGCGAATGTAATTTTTCAAAGGTGTAATATTATTTTAGATTTAAGAAGTTAGATATTTAGTATTTAGTTAGGCTAACGCACAGTCACTTAATTGTGGCTTCTCGATGTCCTTTACCACGTACCCAAGTGTGCCGTAACTTTATCTCCACGGCAAATCTATACTAATATATAAATCTACAGTGGTTTTTACGGATGTTCCGTTATAACTACTGAACCATGCATCCGATTGACTTGAAATTTGGTATCCATGTAGAAAATAGATGTACTTAATGGATAGGCTTATATGAGTGTTGGACTCCCTAATAATAATGACAATAAATAATAATGTTAATTTTAAATGCCCAGCGAAGTGGGCGAGTACGGCTAGTGTATGTATAAAATATAACTAGACCGCGATGTTGTAGTATCAGTGGTTTACTCACTAAAAAATTTTTTTGTTGCTTAGATGGGTGGACGAGCTCACAGCCCACCTGGTGTTAAGTGATTACTGGAGCCCATAGACAAGTACAACGTAAATGCGCCACCCACCTTGAGATATAAGTTCTAAGGTCTCAGTATAGTTACAACTGCTGCCCCACCCTTCAAACCGAAACGCATTACTGCTTCACGGCAGTAATAGGCAGGGCGGTGGTACTTAACCGTGCGGACTCACAAGAGGTTCTACCACACTAATTACGCATATAATATTTTTGCGAGTTTAATTTTTATTACACGATGTTATTCCTTCACCGTGGAAGTCAATTGTGAACATTTGTTAAGTACGTATTTGATTAGAAAAATTGGTACCCGCCCGGGATACAAATATCGTTGCATCGCTAGATACGAATGCAGACGTAACAGTAGAATGCTCTTAAGAGCAAGCTCAAAGAGGTCCTACCACTAGTAAAACGTTAACTCTAATACCTCATAGTTCCACTAGAGATCAACTTTTTTTTTTTTTATTCAAGACATCTACAACGTAAATGCGCCACCCATCTTGAGATATAAGTTCTAAGGGTCTCAGTATAGTTACAACGGCTGCCCCACCCTTCAAACCGAAACGCATTACTGCTTCACGGCAGAAATAGGTAGGTTGGTGGTACCTATCCGCGCGGACTCACAAGAGGTCCTACCACCAGTAATTACGCAAATTATAATTTTGCGGGTTTGATTTTTATTACACGTTATTCCTTCACCGTGGAAGTCAATCATGAACATTTGTTGAGTACGTATTTCATTAGAAAAATTGGTACCCGCCTGAGATTCGAACACCGGTGCATCGCTCAACACGAATGCACCGGACGTCTTATCGCGTAGGCCACGAAATCAAGTATGGGTAGGGGATTTAATGAGGGAATGTGACGGACCCCCACGTGAGGAGTCGCCCGCCGGCGTCCACCGCGGCGGAGTGGTAGTGTCCGGCGGCGACGCACACGAGGGGCGCGCCCCCCGCGAGCCGCACGCGTAGCACGCCGCCCGACGCGCGCGCCGCCTCGCCCGCCGCCCCCCGCCACCGCCGCCCCACGCCCAGCTGACCGAACGTGTTGTCGCCCGCGCTGTACAACTGTTACGTACATTTGAATATCGACGCTTGAAAGGCAAACGTGACTATAGTAGAATTATTTTGTCCGTGCAGTTTGGGTCATAAAACATAGCCCGGTTAGGGCGGTGAGCATGTTGCGCGGGCGTAACGCCATTATCGATAAAAACAAATGAGTCATCGAAGGCAGGTACACGGCGGCGGGGTAGTATACGAAGGGTGGTGAGACATTGTTATGTTACGAGTCATTTGTTGTACTTACCTGCAAATTATAGTACACTAGCGACCCGCCCTCGCTTCGCTTCGGAAACATTAAAACACACATGAAACCAAAAAAACAAAATAATTTTTTTTTTTTAAAAAGTAGCCTATGTTCATCAGGGACAATGTCGGCTTCTAATGGAAAAAGAATTTTTCAAATCAGTCCAGTAGTTTCGGAGCCTATTCGAAACAAACAAACAAACAAATCTTTCCTCTTTATAATATTAGTATAGATATGTCGAAGAGAAATGTGTTTTTATGTATTCGCTCTCTGAATTTCTTTAGTGACACAATGGCTACTCCTTTGTTTTGTATCAAAACGGTAGATTTTATTCAAAACAATATTTGCACGTGTTGTTATCAACAATGTGTTAAAAAATTTCACTGAAATAAAAATAGATCCCGAAAAGTTACAACGTGTTAATTTTTGCCGTTCTCGTTAACTTGCTGCGGCGATATGTGGTGTGAGTGTTCGATTAGTGATTTTAAATTTCATTTTTATCAGTAACCCACAAAATGACAAAACTAAATACACAATCGATAACGCTTATCGAAAACAATAATGCGCATCACTATGCCCGTCCATAAGGCTCGTGAGTGGAAGAGAGAGCAAAATATTCGCTTCACCGCTCCGATTATTTATGACCCAAACTGCAGGAACAAAATAATTCTACTATAGCAATATTAATTTATTATCATTTTGTTGTCTATAGTACGTGCTTAGTATTTAGACAAAAACGATACATAAAATATCTTTTTATTGCTTTGATTGGTGGACGAGCTCATGGCCCACATGATCTTAAGTATTTATCGAAGCTTAAGACATCTACAATCGCCGCCACCCACCTTGAGACATGAGTTCTAAGGTCTTACTTTTAACAGTACAACGGCTGCCCAACCTTTCAAACCGAAACCTAACATAGTGATGTTAGGTTTCGGTTACCTATTTATTTTATTTTAGGGTGGTGGAACCAATGAAGTGAATGAATATCCTGCTCGGTTACCTTAAATATGAAAATAACTCACTCCATTTTCCGTTAAGATGAGAGTGTGGTGCCGTCCACAGGCCACGTCTATAACCCTGCCGATGAGCTCCGTGTTGACTGGTGTACTAGCCATCATAACTCTGGCGTTGCCGTCGCTGACCACGGCCCAATGCGCCAGCCCGCAAGTGAGGGAGCGTCTGGGTGTGAACACTTGATTCTTCCATGTGTCGGATGGAGGTTGCGTGACCTCCAAATGTATATCTTGACATGGTTCCCGGGCTTCCACAGCACAGGCGACATTGACGAACGTAGATATTAGTTGCGTCATTTTTGCTGTCTAAAAATGATGTTTATATTAATACTAGCTTTTGCCCGCGACACCGTCCACGTGGAATAATTATTTTGACATGGCACTAAATTTTACCCCCATTTCATTTACCTAGAAAGTGAAAATATTTTGAAATATTCTTTATCGGTGCTCCACTTGTATTGGTCTTACTGTGATGTTATATAGCCTTCCTCAATAAATGGGCTATCTAATACTGAAATAATTTTTCTAATCGGACCAGTAGTTCCTGAGATTAGCGCGTTCAAACAAACAAACTCTTCAGCTTTATAATATTAAGTATAGATAAACACGACTCAATGGAGATACGGCGTGTAATGACTTATGCAGGAGTTGATAAATTTACTAATTTAGTATTTATTTATACTCAAAATCTGGGTTGGCAAGTTCAACAAATATAATACATGTGTTGAAGAAATAATTGAAATAGTTAAGTAACACTTTGAGTAATTATCGTCATGGTTTTTGGTGGAGGCTGAATGGGATATTCTGATTGTTTCTCAAAACCCAAGTGTTTGTGTAGAATTTACATCCCAGTCTTAAATGTTGACGTCATTGTTCAAAAAGTGTGCTCTCTCTCTCTAGCGCGTTTAAAAGGCTTAGAGAGAGTGAAAAAGAACGGCTTATATTATATCAAACAGTTACATTACGGTTGAGACTTTATCCTGTCAAAGCCATAAATGACTTTGTGTCTCTTATGTCGCGAGAGCCGGTAGAAAATTCAATCAACAGTTGGATTTAATTATCATTGGGCTCTAGAAATCGCTTAAAAGCAAGACGTTAATACTAAATATATAAATGACTAAATTTTTTAACAAAAAGACTAATTTTGAAAAACTTCAGAATACACACTTTCAAGAAAATTCTTAATCTTTCATTTTTACACAATAATAATAATAATAAGATCATCTATATTAAATACGTAGCATATTACGCTTTATATATTATTCAATATAGAAATATGGGCACTTACATAAACTGTGGATATGCCCTGCTTCATGTCCCTCATTACAGGCCGCAGTTGGTCTTGTAACGGATTCAACCACAAACATAGACACTGCAATTTTATTTTTTATGTTAATATTGACCTACTGTTTAGTTTGCCGCTGACTTTTTTTCAGCTTATTCCTCTACTCACTTTAAGTAGGAAGGTGTCAAACTTTTCACAATTGCCAATAATAAAATCAAGGAGCCATTGGCTGTCTTCTTCCAACAGCAGTGGTACAACACATTGCTCCCTAAGGAGACAGTTTAAAGCTCCTCTGCATATAGCACTTCGAGACTTTACTGCTGACAGAAGTATGTTAGGGTATCCTCTGTGAATGCTGAATAATGGTAGCATCTCCCACAAGCCAACCGCAGCAGCAAATGAAGCCAATTCCAATAGTTCAGCCGGATTAAGAGTTGTGAATTTTACATCCCTAAAACAAAAGTTCAGTTTTTGAGAACATTCTTTTTTTTTCTACCTAAGCTGAGAGCCTTGAGAGGCCATATCAGCGTAACCTTAACTAGTAGGTGGACTCACGGGGCTCAGACCTGACGACGTTGCTAACACGAACCCTAGCAAGAGCCGTGTTTCGCAGAATCTACCACCGGATCGAAACGCAATCCACTGAGAAGATCCGGCGAGAAACTCAGTGGGCTGTGCCTGAGGGTTAATTTACTCGTCGAGCTCTTCGTCGCAAGCGACGGGTTCGATGACAATAATGACCGGTGCTTGAGGTACCTAGAAGCACCGTTAGTGGATCGGGAGGATCCGAAATGACGTGTTTGGGGCGACGTCGACTGCTTTCCATTCTGTCCGCAGGATCGGTATCGGATGTACTTACCGGCGGCACGATGAGCGGGTTCTCGTGTCGTGCCGCTTTATTGAGTTGGGAACATTCTACTGTTACAAGGTTACATTCAGTTTTTATCAATCTACTATAGCTATCATTTAGGCAGCTTTTAGACATATTTTTTTTATTAAATATGTGATAAAATATAATGACATAATCGTAATCTATTATCATATTCTTCTATATTTTTTTTTAACTATCAATTCAACTTTTTAAATTAAGCCATCGAATGTAATAATGTTTCAATAGAGATTTTTCTCACTTACCAGTCGAATATTTCTTCTTCATTAGTAGACATTTTGATCAACACAGCCAGTAATTTGACGATAATTGCAGCATTCCCAAGACTTCCGACATTCGCTGACTGTTTAAACATGGACAGTTCGTGGAGACGACCAAACACACCTAGTCGGGCTACCCAGCCATCTGGTGGACTCTGAAATAATTATATCGTACCATTAAAGTATGAAGTATCGTGATAAGTTATAATATTATTAGTTTGTAATACCAAAGGTGATATCGGTTTCATTTTAAAAATGATTAGTGATTTCACTATTTTCTTTCTATGATTTCACTATTATCATGATTAATTCTAATATTCTGTGTATCTACTGAAAAAGCAGTTTTCAGTGGGACAAGAAATGACATCGAATAATAATAATAAAAAAAGCAATCGAGATCGGAAAGTGTAAGCTACCCCTGCGATCCACAACTCTATCTGAGCATTGCAAAAACTAGATAGGTGATAGGTGAATAGGAATGAATATATTAGAGGAAGTGTCAAAATAGCTCCGGTAATTAACAAATTAAAGGACGATTAGCGTAGTATGGACATGTGATGCGTAGAGAAGAGAGAGAAGATGCATGTAAATAGGAGATGTATGGAAATCGTAGTGCAAGGCAGAGGAGGAAGAGGTCAACCGAAGAAGACATGGATGGAGTGTGTGAATAACGATATGAGAGAGAGAGAGAGAGAGAGAAGAGTGAGTGTTGAGATGACGGCTGATAGAAGAGAATGGACGTGAAAAATTAGCTGTGCCGACCCCACCTAGTGGGATAAGGTAGAGAAAAAGATGAAGAAAAACTAGATAGGTGAGGTACAATAAAAACACTATGAATGGTTAACAAAAATAGTAAGTACAACCATATTTGTATGGAATTGGATCGTTTGTGTACGTTTGCCGCTAGGAGCGCTGTTCCAACTACATACAATAATGGCTTAACTTTTACGCTATCGAGAACGTTAAAAAACTCGGATTAAGCACACAGGTCGGTAGGTGTATGTATAGTGTGCACGTACTTGCGCTAACGAGTAGAGGTAGTGCGCGGATGCGATGTTCCCCCGCGACATGAGCAGGTCCGCGGCGGCGCGCAGCAGCGGGGGCAGCGCCGCGCCCAGCGCCGCCGCGCGCTGCTCCGCGCCCGTCCCGCCACGACATATCGTGCCAACGAGCCACTCGCACACCTCGCAGCTACATAAAAACACCAGTCTTGACTAGTTTATCCCAAAGACACAGCCCACTGAGTTTCTCGCCGGATCTTCTCAGTGGGCTGCGTTTCCGATCCGGTGGTAGATTGTGCGAAGCACTACTCTTGTTAGGGTCAGTGTTAGCAACACTCCGGTTTGAGCCCCGTGAGCTCACCTACACACATTAGGGTGAAGCTGAAATAGCATAGGTAGGAAAAAAACTAGTTTACATTATCATCCGTGTTGGCGTTGAGCGCCAACAACATCGGTAATCAACAGAAAATAACGAAATGAAAATATTCAGTGTCCTCAGTGAGAGTTTTTTAACGTTCTCGTTAGCGTAAAAGTTAACTCAAACTTGTATGGAGTTGGATCTGTTATATCTCTGTACTGAACCCTAAAATGCTGAGACCCTCCAACCACTCACTAGACGGTCCGAGGTAGAGACTTTAGAGGAGACCGGAGAACGGTTAGTAGAGCGTTAACTGTCTTAGAGTACGGGTGCGGCTGCTGGGGTTGCTCTTAGAGTTACATCATCCATATTGTATAAATCAAATAAAATTGTTCGTATCGTAAAAGTTCCCTTTTTAAAACGACCTCAGAGTAAACTCCCATAACAGAACGTTTGCCTACGTTTGCCGCTAAGAGCGCTGTACCGATGAGTAAACTTTTACGCTATCGAGAACGTGAAAAACTAAGCACACAGATGTGGCTTCAGCGTGTTTAGTTACATACATAATGTAACGTAATTGGGCTTCTACTTCAGGTTTCAAGTTTGTAGTGACAATCATGTGGAAGTATAGTATTTGCATTGTATCATTCGAAAGATTCAAATCCATTAGTGAACATTGGCGAAAGAAGTTCCTTGGCTGGAATTGATTTTTATATCAATAGAGGGTTGTTTATATAATATTTAATTAACAGTTGTTTATATAATATTTATAATTTTATATCGCACAATGTCAGTTTTTTTTACTTCAATTTATGACTGCTAATTTCCCTTTTATTTGCTAATTAAAATATATCGTTTGGGTGTGCTGAGAGTCACCTTCATGGTTATATTACAGTATATAAGTATTATATCTTATTTGGGATAATTGTTTTTTAAAGTAATTTAAATACCTACAAAGCTTTTCAGTTACGCTTCAAACTGTATGTTATAATCCAACATACAGTCTTTATCACAAGAACAAGTACCTCAAGAAGTAAGTTAGGTTAGCAGCTAGGCTTAAAAATATGAGATTGAAATTAAACTTACATAGTATTCAATATATATGCACCGCAGTTTGTTACAATCAAACACGGTTGTAAAGTGAACCTCGGTAGTTGCAAATCACACAAAAACGTTGGCTCTTGCCAATCCCCAGTTGTTGTGGAGGCGTCTTTAGCAGCCATAAGATGAGCGCGCTGCACATCGCCGATGAGTTCCGCAGACCACATTTCAGTAAAATCTCGATTAACTCCTTGTGAGCCTTCGTGCTGAAAATGTTATTGTTTTCTACTAAGTTTAGAAATATTTCTTTTCCACATATTTGTGTATTATTGTTTTCAAATCAAAATTAATTAAAGTACAATGAGAAATATTGCAAACATTCAAATGACTATACCCGGTATGTTTAGAGGTAACTTCGGATGGGAGTTTCGTCAGCGGTGGATTTACACTGGGGGCATTCGGGGTAAGTGCCCAGGGCGGCAAATATTTAGGGCGGCAAATTTTTGAAAGTGAAAACATTTAAAATTGTTGGAAAAAAAAACAAATATTTATTTATGTTTCTGGAATATATAATAAAGTTTCTGCAATAAATTAGTTATTTTAATTTTGAAAAATAAGTTAAGTTTAATTATAATTCCAGAATTGGGGCGTCTTTTTTCCGGTGCCCAGGATCGGCATTAAGTTTAAATCCGGCACTGAGTTTCGTGTTAATTAAAAATAATTGTCGCGGAGTGCAACCTTTTTGACAGGACATAAGACCTAAAACGACTAGACATAGACTAAGACAGAGACTTGACAAGAATTAGAAAAGAAACAAAGAGAGGAATGGAACGAAGGCGGACGTGACTAGCGGCATGCAGTACTTTTAACGACTTCCTAAAAGACGGACACGAACCAGACGACAAGGAACGAATTGACCCTTCTCATACATGCATAAAATAGACAACAAAAGAACTAACCGACTGTTCAATAATTAACTATAATATTTCGTTTTTCTTACCTGAATGACTGAAAAGCTGGAACTGTGCACCTCAATTTCATTTTTCCTCAATAGATAAATTAACCTTTGGGACCACAAGCCTTGTACATATAAGCCATCCTTTTTTATTTGTGGTCTCAGAGTTCTAGATGGTGTGTCTTCTTCAGGGCTTTCAAGCTAAAATATTTGCTTAATACTTCACCAGAATAATGTAATTTACAAGCACGTTCAAGGTTATTTAAACGATATTTTTTATTTCAAAAGTTTTGCATAGCACAAGTGTGAAGAGCTTTACATTGTAATTGCACTAATAACACATTTCTACATATTTAATAATTTACTTACAGTATTTTATTACAATATTATATTTAATGCAAATTGGTCACTTAATATTTTGCTTCGAAAATATAATCATAAATTTAAACTTACTATCATTGTTCCCTCATTTAATTCAAACGCAGTCAGGAAATGTCTTCCGTTTACATACTGAGCAGTCAATGCCCAATTATTCGAACCTTTTCTAAACAGCGGAAGGTATTCGGTTGGTTTCAATACATACTCAACTGTTTGTGACTTGTGTTCATCTGTAGGTATATATCATTTTAATTTTATTGTTGATGAATATTGTAACCATTAATTAGGCAATTAAACATACCTATGTATGTTTAATTGTTAAATAACTTTACAACGTAAAAATTACGAAGTAACTGATGCAAAAACAAATTGTAGGCTTGCACTTCAAGGTACGATAGTCCTACAATTCAAGCTTCTGACGTGTTGCATGTTGCATTATATTGTAAAGAATGGGACACCAATTGAGCAATTTCGAAAAGGGCACATCTCTGAAAATGTAAAATGTTCAGGACATGAAAAAAAACTGATTATTTTCTAAAGCAGTGTAAAATTTAAAATATTAACTTTTGAGATATATTGTAGTGTTAATTAGCAATAAAAAATTACTGGCATTGTTATAAAATGGGTGTAGGTAAGCCTCAAAACTACATGTATATGAAATAACGTATTTGACAAAATATACGACATGTGCCCTTTTCGAAATTGCATATTCAATTATACTTTATATTTGAAGCTTTGATGGGATAACCCACTGAGTTTCTCGCCAGACCTTCTCAGTGGGTTGCGACTCCGATCCGGTGGTAGATTCTGCGAAGCACTGCTCTTGCTAGGGCTAGTGTTAGCAAATTCTCTCTGGTTGAGCCGGTGAATTCATCTACCCGTCCGGGTGTAGCTGGAATAGCCCCTTAGGCTACCAACGAATATGTAGGGGAAAAAATTCATGGGTTCTTGGCTGTTTATCCAGAGCATTAAAAAAGTATTTCTTTTTCATGACAAACATTCTTATTCTTAAACTAATAAAAATGTTATAATCTACTCCATCAAATTAAATAATAGTTTACAGTTATTATGGTCAGAGATAACAAATAGTAAAATAAAAGTACGAGGAAGTGGTTTTAATTAAGCCTATGAATTTGAACTGTACTGAATAAAACTACTAATAATAAAGGTGAATTAAGAGTGATTTTGAGACGTCATTATTAAATCGATCATCATTGCCTTGGCTCATTTTTCTGACTGCTATGTTGTTTCATTCACCTTTTGAACTTCCTTGAATAAAAAGTGTAATTTTATCCTTTGATAGTTGCTTTATATAAGACATAAATCCATCTTTTTTATCTCTGTCGTTAGCTTTGATTTGTTGTAACCAACTATAACCATATGATCTGTGCTCTAATACTAATTTCCACTGTTGTGATTTAGTGCTCGAAATCTGGAAATGAATATATTTTATACTACAATTCAATATACATAGGACAGTTATATTTAAAATACATTTGACTGATCATCAAGCTTTATCATAGAAAATAATTATGATGTGAAAAGGAACCCTTTTCTATAAGCTTGTGAATTATTTTTCATTACAAAAACTAGTATTTAAAGGGTTCTTACAATCACAATTTTTACATTTGCTAAGAGAAAGAGCTATGATCACATGCAGACTGAAGATTGCATGTAGTATGTTAGTAGCACACTTGTCTACCCTTTTTTGTGTCCGTTTTTGGCTGTTTCACTTTTTTTCAGACACAGGCCCGAATCTCATATGAGGTGCCCACAGGTAGGGTAGAGTAGGGTTGTGGGACTTGACGGTCTGCATATTTTGGGAACAATTTGCGGGATTTAAATTACATATAATATTATTATGTTAAACTAATTAAAACATTAGAAAATACAAAAGAAAGATCTAAAAAATGCATTTTACTGGCCAAATAGAAACAGAATTGCATTGGTTTCATTGCTTTTCCTGAGTCCAAACAGAGAATTTTGTTAAGCATATCTATTCTATATCAAAAAAAAACAGCAGTGGTGTATTTTTTTGGCTTTTCATTTTATTGTGCACCAAGGCAATTAAGACCAAATATAAACATGCTTACTGAAAAGACAGTTAGTTCCCTTAGCCTGTTTAGAATAAAAATGTGATTAAGGTAAATCATCTTTCTCAATTTTGTCTTTAAATAGAGACAAAGTAAAGTATATTTTAAGCTTTTAATGTTTTTCATATATTGGCCAGAATACACTAGCTGTACCATTTATGTATAAATATACTGTTTCAATGTATAATATAAAACACACCTATACTATACACACAGAAAAGAAGCCTACTGATCATGGCTCTCTTGAAATCTCTTTTTTTGACGATAAACATGTGACTTGGGTTTAAAAACATCAAGATGGGGCATTCATACCAAAGCTATATGATGTGTATCTGAAATGATCTTTGAAAATTCACTGTCAATAAAAGTAGCAGTTCCAAGCCTCATATTTTAAATGTTAGGTTTTAATAACATACTAACCAAAAGTGCTAACAAATCCAATGAGTCATCAAAACAAATCTGTAAATCTGTAATCTCTCCTGACACCTTGCATTCCCCTACAACACTCTGGGTCTCCAATGAATAAAAGGATATTGTTCCGCCCTGTGAATTGAAAATTTTAAAGTCACTTTTACAGCATACAAAATAGTGAAAATGTCACTAACTGCCTTGAGGCATATAGCATGGAAGACTCAATTGTAGTTTAATCATTGTCCCACACTTTAGACCAGAATGTATGAATACCTTCTGTTAGAAATAGACAGGATTGAAACAGAGTGGGCTTAGAATATGCATTTACTCTTCAGGTACAATAACTTCATTAATTTTTATTACATTTCCATTACCAATTTATTTTTTAAAGTATATCTTGAGAATTATGTTTTATTTTGATTTTTTTAACGTACATTTTACAAAGACCTTATTGTATTGTGAAATAATATAGGTATTAAAATTTCATTATCCAACTTTGTATTGTAAAAGTGTATAGCTGAAACAAATATTAAAACCACAAATTTGTATAATACCTTAGATGCAATTATGAGTATATTTTCAGACTCTTTAGTAAGCCAAAATACCACTGATGTAGGTTTTGGAATGTTACCAAGTGGAAGAACAGTAACACTTGACAAAGACCACTTGTGATCGAAGTCATTTTGTGGAATGAATTGGGGTAGAAAAGGTACTAGAAGCACTTTCTGTTCACTTAAAATAATTGTCCAGGTCCCACTAGGCTCAAAACACATGCAATAAACTGGATTATCCACGAAGTCCCAATCATAATTTCGTTCAAACCTCTTTGACAATGGATCAATATATATGAAAAATAATTCTTTGTCACTTGAAAATGCAAAAAACTTCTTTAGACCGACTTCATAGAAACTGTACGATACAATATCTGCATGAATTAGCACATCCAATTTAAATAAGCCAGAAAAATCAACTTTTTCATTAGACTGAGCCATTTTTTGTCAGTCAATGGCCAGCCAATTCAGCCGATTGTTTTGTATTAATGCATAGTCTGTGGCACTTGATTAAACATTAAAGACATTGAAAGAGATGCAACGTCAGGAATTAGAGCCTGTAGAGCCATGACATCTACAGTCATTTTCAGAAAGTAGGTACCGTAAAATGGGGCGATTAGGGACAAATTCCAACTTTATGAGCAATTTTAAGGTAGTTGTTGATGTATATAATGCTATATCAGGATCAAAATGATTGAGTCTTGGGGGCATCTTTGTTATCCAATTTAAAATTATGCAACTAGCATTCCAGTTTAAGCAAAAAATGCAAAAATAGGTGTAATCCCTATTTACCCGAAAATTGCGGTTAATTGGGACGAAATGAGAAATTTGCTAGGGTTGGCACTACTTTTATTTTTATATATAGTTTTAATTAATTTATTTATTTAGTTGCACCAACAAAGTGATCATCAATAAAAAAAATTGAAAAACTGACAAAAGTACATGGCAGACATCACCTCAATTATAGGTGCAATCGACAGTGCTGATATTTCTATCTGGGTTAAGAGATTAGGTGTGTCGGTTATTCCATGGATTAATCAGATGAATACCCCCACTCTGAACAAATATTAAATATTTTATTATGTATTACTTAGACATTTTTGTCCACCTTGAGATTTCATTGATCTTGTTACATGTCTCTGCAAAATCGACTTACTTATATTAAATTGCTTATCTATTTCAACTAAAGACTTATTCCCAATTTCGCTTCGAATAAACCAGATTTTTACCAACAAATTTAAAAAATATTGTTATAACTACATAGACAACCCTACAAACCTGTACCTATTTATACTTAGGTCGTTTCCATTTCACGTATTCTCATCCCAATTGACCCCTTTTTCGTTGTTATTTGTACCTAAGACGTCCCCAATATCCCCAAAAACAACAGATTTTTACATGTATTTTTATTTAATCAAATACATTAAAACCAATAACAACTGAGACTTACCTTTAATATATATGCTGGTTTAAACACTAAATAACGTTTATAAATCATAGTCGTCTTCTATTATTATCAAATAAATAAAAGAGAGCAATGTTTCTAGCACTAAAATAATTACCACCACAGGAAGTTAATTTGAAACGCGATTTTTTATAAGATAGCAGCTATTATCATGCATATTCAGAGTTGTTTTGTGAACTTTCAACATTCTACTATTAAACTACAAAAAATGGAAGATTTTGCAACGAATATAAAACTTATATTGAGCGTCGAAAGATTTTCCCGGTTTTTTCCCGATTCGCCTCTCAATCCCTAATCGCCCCATTTTACCGGTACCTACCGCACCTGATTTCTGAAGATGACATCTATGATGACTTTCTGAAAGTACCTGATTTTTGAAGAAAGTAATGTATAAAAAAAATTAGAGCGCTTAAAGGTATCAATTGAGTCCCACTCTAGCGTGCTGCCAAGGAGAAATAAGAAAAGAGCAACCGGTTGGCGGTATATCGCGTCCCGACTCGGCAGGCTGGTTCTGGTCCAGGAGGTATTTCGGGACACCAGCGGCACTGTCTGGGTAGCCCGACGGGCTGCCGTACCGAGACGGCTGACGTTTCAGAACCTTCAATTCAAACAAATGAATTCCCGAAATCGTAATTATATTAACTATCTGTATTCAAATGTTCAAATTTATAAAAGACTCAGTAAATATGACCACCATTTTACTGTTATTATATTTCATCCCATATAATCTGATCTCATTTCATTTTGATTTTATTTCGTCATTTCACGCCTAGTTTCATTTTAATCAACTTCATTTCATTTCATCATTTTTCATATAATTTTTTTTTACATTAAAATTAAAATAAGACTTGACCTAAAGGTCATAGTTACCAGGTCATAAAATCCTTTACAAAATCAAATGAATAATCTGTGCTGTGTGACCATCTCTTATCTCTAGATCCTGCCTTCCTTTAGTTGAAAACGTACCAAATCCAGCCAAAGTCTGCTTAATGCGCGCGAATGTGCTATTCACCTCCTGTGGTATGTGGCGGGGTAAGACGGGGGAGGGCCCAATTGACAAGATGCACACGATATTGTATTTAAGTGCAGATAAATCTCAGAAGAACATGTTAGAATTAATGTAATGGGTACCTAATTGTAATATTGTATTTTTCTACTTCCTGGTTCAACAAAAAATGCATATTCAAAAGTGTTTATTATATTTTATTATTTACGATACAAAACAATTTTATAAAATAATTAACATTTCGTAATAAGATAAAAAAATTACATGCGTGCAATTCAGACGTGCTAGAAGTGAAACCTTCAAAAATTATCGTTCCGATATCGAGTCGGGGGAACGCGATCCCGCCCCCGTCACGTCACAGCCGGAGTCCCGCAAGGCTCCGCCCTCTCCCCGTTACTATTCAGTTTGTATATCAATGATATACCCCGGTCTCCGGAGACCCATCTGGCGCTCTTCGCCGATGACACCGCCATCTACTACTCGTGTAGGAAGAAGGCGTTGCTCCATCGGCAACTTCAGACCGCAGCTACCACCATGGGACAGTGGTTCCGGAAGTGGCGCATCGACATCAACCCCACGAAAAGCACAGCGGTGCTCTTCGAAAGGGCTCGCCCTCCGAACACCACGCTGAGCATCCCTCTCCTGACTAGGCGCGTCGACACCTCCGCCTCCGCCATTCGCCCAATCACGATGTTCAACCAGCCCATACCGTGGGCCCCGAAGGTCAAATATTTAGGCGTCACCCTCGACCGAAGGATGACATTCCGCCCTCATATTAAGACGGTACGCGACCGTGCCGCCTTCATTCTAGGACGTCTCTACCCGATGATATGTAGGCGAAGTAAAATGTCCCTTAGAAATAAGGTGACACTTTACAAAACTTGCATACGCCCCGTCATGACCTATGCAAGTGTAGTGTTCGCTCACGCGGCCCGCACTCACTTAAAATCTTTCCAAATTATGCAATCCCGTTTTTGCAGGATAGCCGTCGGAGCCCCGTGGTTCGTCAGGAACGTCGACCTCCATGACGACCTGGACTTAGAGTCCGTCAGTAAGTATTTACAGTCGGCGTCGATGCGCCACTTCGATAAAGCGGCACGACACGAGAACCCTCTCATCGTGGCCGCCGGTAACCACATTTCCGATCCTGCGGACAGAATGGAAAGCAATCGACGTCGCCCAAAACACGTCATCTCGGATCCTCCCGATCCACTAACGGTGCTTCTAGGTACTTCAAGCACCGGTCACCGTTCTCGTCGAACCCGTCGCTTGCGACGAAGGGCTCGACGAGTAAATTCACTCTCAGACACAGCCCACTGAGTTTCTCGCCGGATCTTCTCAGTGGGTCGCGTTTCCGATCCGGTGGTAGATTCTGCGAAGCGCGACTCTTGCTAGGGTTCGTGTTAGCATCGTCGTCAGGTGTGAGCCCCGTGAGCTCACCCACTAGTTAAGGTTCCGCTGGAATAGCCTCTCTAGGCTACCAGCTTAGGTAGGAAAAAAAAGGAAAAAAATAAATAATAATAATTAAAATACAATTATCCTAAATGTCTAAGTATATTATTAGTAAAACTTTGTCATTAGTAAATAATTGTAAATCACCTTTTATAGTATGAGGTAGCGCCCTCTGTGAATTGATATTTTAACTTTTTTATTTTATTTATTGCTTAGATGGGTGGACTAGCTCACAGCCCACCTGGTGTTAAGTGGTTACTAGAGCCCATAGACATCTACAACGTAAACGCGCCACCCACCTCGAGATATAAGTTTTAAGGTCTCAAGTATAGTTACAACGGCTGCCCCACCCTTCGAACCGAAACGCATTACTGCTTCACGGCGGAAATAGGTGGGGTGGTGGTACCTACCCGTGCGGACTCCCAAGAGGTCCTACCACCAGTGATTACGCAAATTATAATTTTGCGGGTTTGATTTTTATTACACGATGTTATTCCTTCACCGTGGAAGTCAATCGTGAACATTTGTTGAGTACGTGTTTCATTAGAAAAATTGGTACCCGCCTGAGATTCGAACACCGGTGCATCGCTCAACACGAATGCACCGGACGTCTTATCCGTTAGGCCACGACGACTTCAAATTAAAATGAAATGACGATTTAAAATTAAATGAACTATATTTGATGTATATTGATGGTTTTTGAGTATTAATTATGTGCTAATGTGAGAAATGTAAGCTGTGTAGTCAAATTTTGCCTTACGACTTGTCACAAGAACTCCGTTTCACGGCGTCGGTTGATAGCCTACAGTTCAGCTGAGCTGTACGTAGACTTTGAAAGTGAAGAAACAATAATATAATATGTATATTATTGAAAGACTTGCCATGTATGTGTGGTCACGATTAAATTAAAATAATAAAAGTAAAAACACACAGTCAGTCTGCTTAACATATCTTTGGTTGGTTTACATGCAAAGCAATCGCCATGCTCACCAATACCTTGTTTAACATGCAAGATAGACGCTACATGTGTGTTTATAAATCTATGGCGCGTTTTCGTTTTAATTAAATTTATTTGAGAGAATATTCTTTGGCATGCAGCGTTAGACATTGGTAAACATAGCAGTCCTTTTGCGAAATTTGCAATATTTACGTATTTTAAGTGCCCACTGGAATTCCGCATTTTTCCGATAGCACCCCAAAAGCTGTCAACACTTAGAGCCGATAGCACTTAGAATTTTTTTTTACCAGCAAGATTAGGGAATTGATTTATAATATTTGATATTGAACTGAAGCATTTATACACAGCGTGTTGAAGAGATGAGAACTGTAAGTATATATAAATTTACTTTAAAATGCAACGACATTGTTTTGGATGTAAGACTAAATAAATTAATAAACATTAGCACTGTGCATATTGTGATACGACTTGTACGTTGTAAAAAATAAACATTACATTCTGTTTATTAAACTTACCGAAGACTACCCAGTGAATCCTCTCATATTTTTTTTGTTTACTAGTAGCGGCATGGTTTTTTTTTATTGCCTTTGTAGGCAGATGAGCACATGGCCCACCTGATGGTGAGTGGTTACCGTCACCCATGGACTTCAGCAATGCCAGGGGCAGAGCCAAGCCGCTGCCTACCGCAAGGTAGGGTGGTCTTTTATAGCGAACAGACGGGTTACTAATTTGAAGTTACAGGAATTACAAAAGGCTACTTCTGGATCATCTTTAGCTTTCGAGATCCACGATAAAAGTAAAGGATCTTAAAATTAAGAAATTATAATCTAAATCGAATCTACCTTTAAGTATGTCTCTATGACTGATTAAATTGAAATATAAGCCGTAAACTCGTGTTTATGAATACTCGTTTCAGGATTATCAACTTTCTAAGCAAAGTTTTAAAGTTGTTAATTGAATATGATACGAATATAGTACGAGAAGTATAGGGAAATTCCCTACATGCTCACGAAGTATCTTCAGAGCTGTCATTTTTTACATTTTATTGAGTTGCCACAAGGAAAGTTATTTTCTATAGCCCAGTACTACTACTACGTTTGTCTATCATGCCAGAAGCTAAAATAAGAGTCCAATCCTGCCAAAATGGCAGGATCCTGCCACATATGGTCACACTGAATCTGTGGTTCAAAATGTTCAAATCAGAACTTAGAAGAAGAAAAGAGTAAAACTAGGAGTGAGGGAAAAATGGAGTTGACGGAAAAACGTAAAGCTCTTGATTAAGTGGAAGAACTATAAATGAGATATGAAAATATGTACTCATCAAAATAATTGCAAGTCTGCAAAAATATTAGAATGCTTGTTATTAAGAAAGAAAAATATTTTAATATTGAATTGGCGCTAAATACGGCAGTCTTGACAAATTTACATAATGTTTAAAAAATTTCAAGCCGTGCCTTCACAGTTTATTACTTACTCATAAAATTTATGTTCGTCTTATCTTTGAGTTTATGTTACATAGTTTTAAAGTAAATTACTAAAATAACTTTTAGAATCTGAAAGATCACTCTGAAACCAAACATGTTCGCGCTGAATTTAAAGAAAATAAAAAACGTTGCAATTCCTCTTTATCGACATGAACAAACACGCTCAAAGTCATTATTTAACAGGGGCTTACATTTTTTGTTCAAAAAAAACCTACTTCTCACTAACAGTATTACGTCTGGTGGTTTTATGGCAATAGGAGACTTGTTTCAACAAGAATTTGAATTTCAATCAAAACTATTAAAAGAAAGATATGATTGGGCAAGAGCCGGTAAGTGTTATTAGAAATATTTTGCCCTACAATAAAATTTCTTCCAATTTACATTTTTAAAAAAATGGCTTTCCAAAATAGCTTAGACATAATATATTCTAAAATCAATTCAAGTTTTCTTTCATATTTTAGTTCGGATGTTCATTGTGGGTACAGTATTAGGACCCATGCATCATTATTACTACATCTATTTAGACAAAGTTTTACCGAAGAATGATGTAAAGACAATATTTAAAAAAATACTCTACGATGAAACTATAGTGTCACCATTGACAATTGTTTGTTTTTTCTACATAATGGGGACATTAGAAAAGAAGTCACTGGAGAAATGCAATGAAGAAATAACAAAGAAATTTAAATATGTGTATTTGGTATGTATGCAATAAATCTGTAAAGATTTTAAATTAAATAATTTGAACCTATTTTTACTTCACATAAAAATTCTTTGCTTACAGGCTGACTGCCTTTTCTGGCCTCCAGTTCAATATATTAACTTTTATTACTTACCAACACAATACCGAGTTGTGTATGTAAATCTTGCAACAATGGTATTTAATGTATTTATGTCATACATGAAACATTATGATCAACATTTGGAATGAGAAAAACTTTCTTAGTATTATGGTAAACGGGTAATTATGTGATTTTTCATTGTAATATTTATATGTTGTTTCATNTTCTGGCCTCCAGTTCAATATATTAACTTTTATTACTTACCAACACAATACCGAGTTGTGTATGTAAATCTTGCAACAATGGTATTTAATGTATTTATGTCATACATGAAACATTATGATCAACATTTGGAATGAGAAAAACTTTCTTAGTATTATGGTAAACGGGTAATTATGTGATTTTTCATTGTAATATTTATATGTTGTTTCATTTTTAATTATAATAGAGAGTAATCTATATTTCTAGTTTTTAATAGAAACAAAAACTGAATATTAATCCTTAAAAGGACTGATGTAAGATATGAAGCTTCTGTAAATAGCTATCACAGCATAAGGTACATCTATTTAATTGAAAATTATGCAAATTTGATTTGCAATCAATTATTAGCTCAGCAGGAATATGTAGTCACATTGGTGCAGCCATCTGACTTTATGAATTATATTTTGTTGTTTGTATTGATTTTGTGCTTCACAAAAATGTATTTATGCAATTTATTGAAGTGGTTAAAAAATTTTCTACACTAACATGTACAATTCCCTAGTGTCATTGTGAAAAGTGTTAGTATATCACACATATGGTGCTATAAAGTCACTTAAGCAATTTTTGTTAACACTGAATTGAGTATGAGAAAATACATTTTTTAAATTATTAGTGAGACGAGAGAGGTCTGCTTTTACTGATGAAGTTTGTAGTTCATTTTATTTCGATAGCCTAACAGAACTATATAAAAATTATATAATAAGATGTTGAATTTGCCAACGTTTCATGCACCGTATGTTGTGCGATATATTAATAAATTAATTATTGGTTCTAAATGAAACCAAATAATTTTATGTTATAATTTTTATTGGTTGTTAATAAAAATCAATACTATTTACCTTACCACTAGCTTCGTAATATGCACATGCTACATAATATAGAATGAAAATAAAGGTAAAGTTTGTGTATCGATTTCATATTTATATTATAAATTTATAATAAATCTTATTTATGAATGTTCTAGGTACTTCTCTATTTTAATTTTAGCCCCAACACATTGTCCAATCATCCTTCCTTGTTTGTAGTTTCACCACAATACGATATAATGCCAGGGCAGGTCCAAGAGGTAACCCCAGACCCCTTACAATGTCAGCACGACATGCCATACTTAAAGCTTGGCCATCAAATTCCTGAGAATGCATTTCATTTCAAAAAATTAAAAATTAGTTTGTAACAATTATTTCAAATAAAGGAATAAGGAATGGGATACTAACCTGATCTCTGAGAATAGGGGCAGCTTCAGGATGATGCTTTGAAAAGTACTCAAAAACATCATCGGTATTCCAGTGTGTTATGTCAGGTATGCTTGGATCTATTGGTGTATCCATAGATAATTTGGATGGTGCTCTATCTAGTTCATGTGGCTTCAAGAAAGGATCAACATTTGGTGAATTTTGTCCACTGTAGTCAAAGCTTCTGGGTATTATGGCGGGTGACCCTATCACAGTTGGTCGAGATTCAAGGCAATTATTGCATTCCCATTGATCCCAAGCTTTCAATCTATCTGGTATCTGAGGTGCATGGCAAAGTGCATGATAAGCATCAGAGCAAACACTGCAGACAGTGAGAACACCCTAAAACAAAATAAATAAAAATTTGGTATGATATTTTTAATTCATTAGATATTACTGTAACCCAGGTGTTAAGAGCCAACTATCTTCTTTATTAAGCCTTTCGCTACAGCAGTGTACTCCGTACACAATAACATATTTCGAGATTTTACAATTATTATCAATAAAAATAAACCATTTATCAATAACCATTAAAATTCTCAATAAACAGTCACATTTTGAAGCAAGTGTTGACACAATCCCTTATTACAATTTTCTCACATTATGTAGATATCGTCTATAGGCGACGCTTGTAGCAAAAGGGTTATCTTATCTAACAGGTGAGGTTCGCTTATTGTGAAAATTAAAACCAAAGTCAAATATTAGTTTAACTTACAGCATCATTAGTTTCACAGCATATTACACATGTTTTACAATGAGGACATTGCCATGTGTTGTCAGGCCTTGGTTTTAAAATATTGGAACCTGATTGCAAACAGCTTATATGAGCTTTGTTGCTGCAATCACGGCATTCAACAAGTCTATCATTTGATCCTCGTGGTTTTTGTACAAGGCAAACTGAGCAAACTCCACCTGATTCTTCATGCGGCAAAGAATCTTCCTGGTCTATTTCATCACCACTTCCATCCAAAGAAAATTGGCTTTCTGATAATGGTGCATCATCCTTAATATGTCCAGCCACCATCAATCTTTTTTTTATTGTGCTCTTGTTCAAGGACCCCACAGGACGACCCCTTTTTCTTTTGCTCGGCACATTGTTATCTGATGGATCAAATACTTTTTTTGCCATTTTTCGTCGTTCTCCTACACGTACTGCAGTGCTGCGAGTTGTATTATTACTATGCCCACCAGAAACACCTCCACCACGTTTTTTAGGCCGTCCTCTAGTTCTTTGTGGAGATGATCTGCATGAAGAATTAGCTGAGGACGTCATCTAAAATAATTTTAGAAATAGCTTTATTAAATATCATGAATACAACAATAGTCTCTAATAAAAATTTACTTACTTTCGTATTGGAATCTGCATTACTCTCAAATCTAAAACTATCAGAGCTATCTACATCATGGTCTGCTGGTCCCAAAGCTAAATTACCATTTGGTAATTTCACTAAACTACCAGAGCTTAATTCTTTGTTTACAATATTCTCCAATTGTTTTTTGGAGTACTTTGATTCCTGATCAGAAGCAGCTTTTATAAGGTCATCAAAGGCAATTCCATTTTCTAAATAACTTTGATCTTGGTAGATAAGTGTTGCTATAGCCGATGTTATAATTCGGCGTTCACTTGTTGCAATTGCAGCAGACATGGCTAATAAATAAAAGAAGAAGTATAGGTTGTACTTAATAAATAAACATCCTCCGGTCTAAGAAAGACATGAAAAAAAAAAGTTTAATTTTACAATATATTATGTTTAAGAGAACTCACAGCTTGGGCCCACTGTCGATGTCTTGAATTCTTGAAATATCTAAGAATGACTTAAAAATAATTTTAGCACTATTGTAGTGTCACCAGAAAATAATAGTTATTATGAGATGGATGCTGATCTCATCTACTAACAAGAAATAAAAACAGATATTAAACACTTACTGTTGTTTTTTGATTTCTTTCTCCACTTAGCAGCGTTCCTGTAGCTCACATTATCTTTATAATCTACTTTATATATACTTTTCTCTTTAAGGCAGCGCTTTAGATCTGCTTTTGTGTCCTTTGGTTGTACTTTATAGCACTTCAACATAAATTTACAAATTCTGTTCGCATCTGGACGTGACTTTCTGGCGCGCAAGTGATCAATAGCTGCCAATATTTGATTTTTATACTTTATTTCTGACATTTCTGTAATAGAAAATTNATCTTTATAATCTACTTTATATATACTTTTCTCTTTAAGGCAGCGCTTTAGATCTGCTTTTGTGTCCTTTGGTTGTACTTTATAGCACTTCAACATAAATTTACAAATTCTGTTCGCATCTGGACGTGACTTTCTGGCGCGCAAGTGATCAATAGCTGCCAATATTTGATTTTTATACTTTATTTCTGACATTTCTGTAATAGAAAATATAATATGAATATACTGCGATTATTTTGCATTATCAGCTTGGTCATAATGAAAGTACACAATTGTAATAATAATTCTAGAATTTCAATTGCTATTTACCTGAGAAAAATCATACCGGCGGCGAATCGAACCGTATATCCAAGCTGCGTATTGAATTTTATTGACACGTAAAGTTGCGATTTTCACCTACAATCGTTATTTAAATACTGTTGCATTCCAATGCATTCATTATAATTGTAATTGCGATTGTACTATTAATAATTTCAGCTTAAATGGCGTTTGCATACATTAATATTCTTTGGATATTATTTGTACTTATTTAATTGTAAATATTGTAGGTAATCTCGTTAGAAACTTTGATGCAACTTCTCAAATCAAATATTAAGTGTATAATCTATGGTATGACAGTATGGAAACTATAGTCGGGACTTTTTGGCGGGAACGCGAGAAGTGAAGTTGTTTGATTTGTTTTATTTTGTCTATTTAGTGTTTCTTCGGGTTTAAATGTGTAATAATGGTGGCTTATTAACCGTTTAATATCTGTGAAAGTGCACAAATGTGGGAAAATGAAACAAAGCCGCTGGGCGTAACTTCTCGGGATCCTCCAAAAAGTCCACTGAAAAAATCTTAGTAAATGACCACCATTTTACTGAGATTAGATTTCATCTCATATCATCTCATTTAATTTCATCCCAGTTGATTAATGTCTCAAATTAATCATCTTCATTTCATTTCACTCCATAATATCATTTTTCATACAAATATGAATATAGATTAAAATAAGACATGACTTAAAAGTCTCAGTTACCAGGTCATAAAATCCCTTAAAAAAAAAGAAACTATAGTCGGACTTTTTGACTGCGAGGAGTGAAGTTGTGTGATTTGTTTTATTTTGTCTATTTAGTGTTTCTTCAGGCTTAAATGTGTTATAACGGTCGTTTATTAAGTGTTTAATATCTGTAAAAGTGCACAAATGTGGGAAAATGAAACAAAACTGCTGGACGTCACTTCTAGGATCCTACAAAAAGTCCAATGAAAAAGTCTCAGTAAATGACCACCATTTTACTGAGATTATATTTCATCCCATATCATGTCATCTCATTTCATTTGATTTCATCCCAGTTGATTAATGTCTGAAATTAATCATCTTAATTTCAATTCATTTCATCATTTTTCATAAAAATAAGAATATAAATTAAAATAAGACATGACTTAAAAGTCTTAGTTACCAGGTCATAAAATCCCTTTAAAAAAAAGAAACTATAGTCGGGCTTTTTGGCGGGAATGCGAGGAGTGAAGCTGTGTGATTTGTTTTATTTTGTCTATTTAGTGTTTCATATACAACATAGCGGCTGTGCAAATGGGTTCGGTATTCAATTTGCGAACCCGTTTGCGCTTCCTCCTACACTTGTTTACGAATGTCGCCCGAATTTCTCTTCTTTTTTAATTCACCAATAGAACATTGAAGAGAAAGGGAGTTTTTAATTCTTTCCCAGACGTCCCTTGGCCCTTAGCCATTCTGTTTTTATGGGATTTCTTTTGATGGTCCCATATGGTCGATTCATTTTGCAGGAGTTCAATAAACTCCATCACCTTAGTGTTGTTCCAATCCATGATTAAGCTACGCTACACAGTATACGTCATGAATTATGAAAATGGCGAAACGTCCGTTACCTTCGCAATCGTGGGCGCAACTGGTCACACGAATGTGTGAAAGACTACACGAATAATCGCAGTTCGCGTGCATTTATGTCGGTTGAAAAACCGACACAGCTTGGAAAACCACCAATGCAGCGAAAACTTTGCATAATCATTTGCAAATGTCGTCCTACACTTGCGGGTTTGCGTATTCTTGCGAATGTGAGTGACCGGTATTAGACGAAGTCAATTTTTTTTTTTGAGTATATTGCCTGTTATCTAGACCTTTAGGCCATGACGAAGTCAATTGATTTTTACTGTGTTGTCAGTTTTTGATGAAATAAAAATAGACATAAAAATAGTGACAAAGTGAATAATTGAAAAAACTCCTGAATGAATGAAATTTCCTCCATTGTCTAGTGAATAGTTAGTGTGCCAAACTGCCGATATCGGGTACGGTGTAGTCGTGCTTTGTACATACCAACGAGTTTTCGATGACTATGTTCATATAGTATCTACCTATAATGAATACCGAGTGTTTTAAACATTAAACAAAACATTGCGAGGAAACTTGTAAGTTTGTCCTATTTTCAATACATCATGTACTTGAAACTATAGAAGTATAAAATATAACAATTATAGGTAGGTAATGAAAATAAAAAAACATCGCTTATTACATAATTTGTTTTTATTCATCATCAGATAAAAAACCATCACTATCGCTTTCGGTGATATTAATTATAAATCTGACTGAAATATTGTCGATCTTGTGGTCGAGACCATACATTTTGTCTTCTTCTTTAATTATATGAGACACGCAGCTACTCCATTTTTCAAGTGTGATATGTTGAAGTCCTTCTTCAAAAAGTTTTTTTACTTCTGTCATTTTGAAGGTTTTGTTATTTCTTGCAACATATTCTTGCACCCATACCAACTCAATGGGATTGAGCTCACAGTGGTATGGGGGCAGACATAACACAATTATCCCATGCTGCGCTGCCATCTCATCCACAACATACTTATCGCAATTTTCTTGTTTGTGCTGCCGTACAATTTCTATAAGAGTAGCTAGTAGAAATATTTTTGCTCGTTAGCCACTCTTGTATTCTAGATTTAGTCCAAGACATTGTGGGCAGCGATTCTAGTTTCCTGAAGTGGTAAGGGGCATTATCCATCACTACTACGGAATTTGGTTTTAGTTTTGGCAAGACCCCCCTAAACCACTTCTCTAAGGAATCGGCATTCATCTCTTGATGATAATCTTCTTTATTTTTTTGGCTTCAAATATTAATAAGCTGTCTTCTACGAATCCTTCTTCCCCGCCTATATGGCTGATAATTAATCGTTTGCCCTTTCCTAAAGGCTGTTTTAAGCCAGTGGTCAAGCCATCTAGGAAGGCCTGGCGGGACGATAAAACTGTCTGATCAATCCATGCCTTATTCGGTGCATGACCTTCGCGACAGTGAAAAATATTAATTAATTATTGAAAGTACAATTTAATGTAAAGAAAACAGAAAATTGTAACTACCTTCGTTGATCCAGGTTTCATCTTGGTAATAAATACCTTCCTTCCTTTCGATACTCTTTAATTTTTCGAAGGTATCGCTGGCGCCATCAAATAGTGTCCTGTCTGTCAATTAAAATACTTTGTCTTGATTTTGTGATATAATTGAAATTTCAATGTTTCATAACATTTCTTAATGTACTCCGAGAAAAATTGGGCAAGTCTGGGTCTTCATTGACAACCTTAAGAATCTGTAAAGTAATAAAAAAAGTTTTTGAGTAAGGAAGTCTACGCAATCTAATACTTTGGTTTTACAAAGAACATTATGGTAGACACAGAATATAATGCAGTAGAAGGAATAAAGTTTAAGATGCCTTTATAATGGTGGGTGGTTCGTTTGCATAAAAAAATGATGTACTTTTCACCTTATAGCGGCAAAAGTAAAATCGTCGAATTTATCTTTGAAACTGTGTTTCGGTCCACGTTTCTCGGGAGACTTAAATTGTTCATTTTCTTTGTGTTCTTTTAATACACTGTAAACTGAGGTCACACCGATTCCCGAAATGTCAGCTGTTTTCGAAACACATTCTTTTTTTTTCGGGAGCTTCAATAGGTAATAGAGAAGCAGCTTTCTCCTCAAATACGTGTTTGTAGACGTTTTGTATCATAACTTTTTCGGTAACGCTTAAAGCAATCCGCGTTCTCTTCTTTCTTGGAGACAAACTTTGGCTTGACGTGCTTGGTTGAGGATCCATATCGTTTGTACGGAACTTCTTCTTCTTCGTCGCTTTCTTCATTGCTGAAGGTCGTGTCCCTGAAACTTGACCGTTGCCTGTCTCGTGAGCTGTTTCCATCTCGTCCGGTCCTCAGCTGCTCGAACGGCGGTTGCGACTGGCAACCCAGTTAGAGCGGTTACTTGATCACACCAACGGCTAGGTAATCGGCCGCGGGGTCTCTTTCCTTCTACTTTGCCCGTCACAATCACTTTGTCCAAGTTATCTGATTGTCGGCGGGCAATATGACCGAAGTAGCTGAGGATCCTCTGGTAACAGATTGTTGAGAGCCTGACTCGGATGCGAAGCTGATCCAGGATAGATTTATTATATATAATGTACGGAACAATATAGCAACAAATAAACACAACAATTTCCACAAACACAACGTAACGAAAAATTTAATAAAAACAATAACTAAACAGCGTGAGCCCAGAAAAAATATTCGTGCTATCAGACCAGAGGTTAGAAGCCGAATTAGAAACAAAATGGCGACTAACGCGCGCGGCGGTGATCGGTGTTGGCACTAGTCGCCGCGCCACGCCTTAGAATAAGCTGTCAAAAAACTGATTGTAGTTACATACTACTAGTAACTTATATCAGAGCACTTTTATACAATTTTATTGTAAATTAGAAATAATATTCTTTTATAGTTTGAAATGATTAACTACTCGCACTCATTGTTCATTCATCTGATTAAACGAGAATTGAACGCATCACTATTACTTTAAATATAGCAACATTATTTTACAAAGTGACATTAGCAACTGTCAGTGGGCTTCGTCTAATAAAAATACGACTCTAATGGAGACTTTTTGCATAGACTTATATAGTAGGGACACGACATATTGTTCTATACG